AAAAAAAAAAAAAAAAAGATGCCAGCATCTGGAAATTGTACCATCACATGGCAGAAGGCATACAAATAAGAGAGATGAAAGAGGGGCCTCAACTTCACCCTTTTGTGATGGTGCCAATCCCAGCCAGAAGGGTGGAACCTTCATGGCCTAAACACCTCTTCAGGGTTTCACTTTAATACTATTACAATGGTAATTAAACGACTTTTGGAGGAAACAAACCTTCAAACCACAGGAGCACCAGTAACTCTGTGTTACAGGTGAGAAACCTGAGAGGATTAGCAATTTGCTCAAGGTCACAAGGCTGTTCAGTGGCCAGCATGAATTCAAACCCTTCTCTCTGACTCCAGGCTTTTCATCTTGAGCTTCATCTTGCTACCTGGCAGGCAGAAAGCCACTTAGCAACCACACCCCTTCAGCACCTTCCAAAGTCTCCCCTCAAAGATCTCCCCTTTTTCCATCAAGTAAATGATTCATGTACAATGAATCATTTTTTAATTGTATTTGCTCTAAAACCCCTTTTCCAAATTCCTGCCTGCATTCAGTGCCTTGATTTCCTTGGGTTAATAATCATGTTGCTTTGCTGGACTCCTACTCGTTATGTGTTATTAAGCTCCTTTTGAATCCCACCTCTCTTCTATCTGGTTAATGCATTGCCAGAGAGTCTTTGTGGCACTCCCCAGGGGTTATTTATAGCAAGTGAATGTCATCGCATTTATTAACTTGGTGAACAAAGTTGTTCATTTCCCAAAATTAGCTAGGATTATAAGAGAGAGGGGCAGGGAAGGAAAATGCTATATTTTGAACACCTACTATGATGTGATGGACACACATGATGCTGGGAGCTTTGTACAGAGAACCATTTATGAGCATTTTCTGGTTCATAAAAAATATTGGGCAGGCACTTCATGTGCAGTCCCTTTTGCCCCACTCTCCAAAGACACTGTTATACACCCAATCTTGTTTAACTCTCTCCTTGACCCCAGAATATCATTAGTATTATCTCCATTTCCAGGCGAGAAAATCACAGCTCTGAAAGATTTGGTAACTTTCACGGATCACAGAACTGAGATGTGACAGAGCTGGGGTCCAGGCCCTTTCGTCTGCATTCCAGTCCAAGGAGGAGTAAATGCCTGGCTGGCCTGGCTCTTGTAAAGGTGGCTCTGACACCTCAGTCTCTAAAGCTAAAACTGGATCTCACTGGAGTTGGGTCTATATGCTGAGACTTCAGGGCTGAGACCTAAAAGTCTGCATACAGGACCCAGTGGGGAAGGTTCCAGAATTCTAAATAGTTTAGGGTTCCAGGGGAGTCAAGGAACAGGAGGAAAGGGTCAGGAGGTCAGCAAAAGCTCAGCTGTGAGTAGTCTTGAATGCTATATGGTGGCAAATTTAATTATGGGGTGGTGAGACATCTGCCCAGATTACCAAATCTCTGTTACGTTTCTAAATGATTAGTTCTTTGCAAGCATCATAGGAAAAACTCTCCATGGAAGAAGTAGCAAATATCTCACTGCTGTGTTCTTTAAAATATGCACAAATTAAACAGTGCCATCTCTCCTATGTATTAAGATAACTATTTGTACATATTTTTCATACACTGTACACAATGGTTACACATGAGACGGGAAAGATGGAAATTATCTTCTTACTTTTTATACTTCTAGATCATTAAAATTTTTCTAACGAGGCAGTATTACTTTTGTAGTCTTTAATTTTTGTTTCTTAATGCATGAGTGTAGTATTAGGAAACCTTATATTTGTGTTTCTATGTATTTCCAATTTTTTCTTCATTCTTAGGAGAACCAGTTCAGATCGCACTGACTCTGGACATCGCAAGTATTTCTAGTATTTCAGAGAGTAACATGGTAAGTGTTGCCCCTTTGTATTCTGTCCAAAGAATCCCTTTCTTCGTGTTTAATGGGGGTACGCTTTCTAGTTACTTAACAACAGAAAAGAAAGACTTACATACAGCTCCCCTCCCTCTGCAATGGCAGAGCTGGAGACCTATCCCAAAACTTAAGACAGTGGAAGATTCTTATAGAACGGACGTTCTAAGTATCAAGAAGAAGGTGGATTACAAGGCCAGGAGGAGAGAAACAGGGAATGGTGTGGGTGCATTTGGTGAGGGATAAGAATAAGAGAAATGAATAAAGTGTAGTACGCAAGCCTGGTATCCCACAGTCCTTCATAGAGGAGGCAACAGGTTGATGAAAACTAACAATCAAATGACTGCTGTTAACTATCCTGTCACATAAGAGAACATATTAAACACAAAGTCAGCAGGGTGTGGTGGCTCACACCTACAATCCTACCATTCTGGGAGGGAGAGGCAGGTGGATTGCTTGAGCTCAGAAGTTCAAGACCAGCCTGAGCAAGAGTGAGCCCTGTCTCTACTAAAAACAGAAAAAGGTAGCCGGGCATGGCAGTGCGTGCCTGAAGTCACAGCCTCTGTATCGCTTGACCCTAGGAGTTTGAGGTTGCTGTGAGCTATGATGATGCCATGACACTCTACCCAGGACAACAGAGTGAGACTCCATCTCAAAAAAAAAAAAAAAGTCAAGGTCAAACTAAAGGCGGCTCACCTAGAGGGCTCAGTAAGCTTTCTGCATAAGTCCTAGGCAAACCCTAGCACTTAGCTCACCAAAAACTTCAACAATTTGGTAAAGCCTTTGATCTAGGGCAATGTGAGCTTACATGCCAAGCAAGTTAAGGTCCTGAACATGACAGTGGGAATTATTATCTGAATACAAAAGACAGTTTGTTTTTCTTATAAGCCACCACCTCAAGACATAACTTTATTCACCAATGTCTGTGTACACTTGATCTAAGGGAAGGCCAAGAGGGACTACTTTTCTTCTGTTTGGGGTTTTTCTTCCCCTCTCCATCCATTTCCACCCCCTGCCTTCCCCTCAGGACTACACGGCCACCATTTATCTCCGACAGCGCTGGACGGACCAGCGGCTGGTGTTTGAAGGCAACAAGAGCTTCACTCTGGATGCTCGTCTCGTGGAGTTCCTCTGGGTGCCAGACACCTACATTGTGGAGTCAAAGAAGTCCTTCCTCCATGAAGTCACTGTGGGAAACAGGCTCATCCGTCTTTTCTCCAATGGCACAGTCCTGTATGCCCTGAGGTAAGTGGACACCAGCAATGTCAGGGTTGGAGGGGAAGTGGCTGGATGCATCTTAAGTAGCCCTAAAGCACTAAAACACTGTGAGGTCCCGTGTTTCCCAGGCACCTGCCTTCTTAGATCCTTGTCTTCATAGCAGAAGGGCCTTCTCTCATTTAGTCTGGCTCAGTAAGCATCTTCAGGATACCTGCTCTGTGCCAGGCCCTTTGTTAGGCAGTGAGGACACTGAGCTGAAGAAAATATTGCCTCAAGGACACAGATGTCGAGACAAAGGAAGTCCCAGGTGCTAGGACCCAAGATGGGGTTTAGGGTATTGGTTTGAAGGTAATGTTAAAGGATGCTTTCACAGCTCAGTCTTAAAGGGTAAAAGGAAGCCAGTGAGGGGTGAAGGAAGGGCAACCGTAGGAGCAAACAGAGAGGTGCGTGCAAGGAACTTTGCTCAGTGGAGCTGGGGTAGCTCCAGAGTATATCTCTGCTTGTCTGAGTCATGCTCAGACAGAAAATCAGATGTGGTGTCCCATAGCCTCTGGTGCCTGCTGCCCTGGGCTCCCCTTTGCCCTCTCCCCAAATCCCTGAGGCTGAAAGTTCCTTTCATCCAATTGTCCATGCAGCCTCTGGTTGGCTGGAACAAGAAATTAGAACAAGAAAGGTGCTCCCTAGCTGTTGCCTGGGGAAGCCCCCAGGGGAAGACTCAACCACCTCTGTATAAGGACTGTGCAACCTGATGCTCCCAGAGGCCTTGAGGAAGAGGCCAGGAGCCAGACATTCCTGGGGTTGACCTTTAATCCCAAGTCAGAATCGGAAGTTATAAAGAAAAAATTGAGCTAACCAATGAAAGGGAATTTCTGAATATACCTGAGCTGCACTGAATTTAGCAAAGACCAGCCCAAAACCTAACTCCTCTGTCATGAAACCTAACTAGACTTCTCTTTTGACCGCAATAGCAATCAGCAATAATGTCCCCTGTCCCCATGTTCCCACAGCATGTGTGTGCCAGTGTGTATGTGCACGCGTGTGTGTGTACATGTACCCTGCCTGTGTCGTGGCATATGCCACAGTCAGTCTTGTGTGAGGATTATAATCAGCACTGGTTTAATAGCCTGGCTCTGGAGTCAGATTTGGGTGCAAGTCCTTGCTCGGCTCCTTAGCAGCTCTGTGGTCTTAGGCAAGTTGCTTGACTCCCTGACCCTGTTTCATCAGCAGCAAAGTAAGAATAAAAACATTTCCTACCTGGTAGGGCTGTACAAGGGGTGATGCTTGCAAAACACTCAGGGACTGGCTCACAGTAAGCACTCCTAAACAGCAGCTGTTCTTACTCTCTGCCTCCCTTAAGGGAGGGTGAGCCTCCTTGAGGTGGGCACCATGCTATAATCACCCCCATTGCCCCCAAGCACTTAGCACAGTGCTTAATAAATAAAGGTGCTTAAGAATGGGTGACACTGAAGAAAACGGAAGTTAAAGTCTTACTGATTAAAATCTCCATTGTGAGGACTACATTGACTTTTCTTTTTCTCTTTTCCTTTTTTTTTTTGGAGACAGAGTCTTACTCTGTTACCCTGGCTAGAGTACAGTGGCATCAACTCATCAACTGATCACCAACTCTTGGGCTCAGGCATTCTTTCTGCCTCAGCCTCCCAAATAGCTAGGACTACAGGTACATATCACCAGGCCTAGCTAATTTATCTATTTTTTGTAGAGACAGGGCCTCACTTTCGCTCAGGCTGGTCATGAACTCCTGACCTCAAGCAATCCTCCTGCATCAGCCTCCCAGAGGGCTGGGATTACAGACGTGAGAAACCACATCCAGCCTTGACTGGTCTTTAATTGAACATCCCTGGGTATTAAACCCTGTGACCCACACTACCTGGTACCTCCACTTGCTCTGTATTCTCATCCCCAAGAGCAGGCGGGCCCTGTGAGAAGAGCACAGCCAGGAGAACTGGGCTCTGGGTTAGCCCTGCCGCTCAGAGCCATGGGAGCCCCAGCAAGCCCCTAAGTCCACTGCCAAATGGTGACGGTAACGACCGTGAGCACAGGGCTAGCCCCACACACGTCTACCATCAAGATTAAATTCTAAAACTGGAATGCAAAAGCATCTCAAGCAAGCCGATGAGTAAGTCTGGTCTGTGATACTGTTGGAAGTTTTGCCTGTTCATTGCCAGAATTCTCACTTTCTCTACTCAGCACCCAGTTTTAATGGAGCCTCCCAGGCATTGTATGGGGACAGAAAACCTCAAGGAAGATTTGGATGCAGGCTCCAGGTCACAAGTTCACTGTAAGAGTTCAAGTGAAAGTCCTCTTGCAGTGGCCCTTGGATGGGAATGTGTACTTTGGATAGATTCATCATAACCCTTTGTGAATGCATTCTTCCCTTCCTAGAATCACAACAACTGTTGCATGTAACATGGATCTGTCTAAATACCCCATGGACACACAGACGTGCAAGTTGCAGCTGGAAAGCTGTGAGTATAAATCCCGCAGGCTCCTGAGATGATCTTCCTGGGTGAAGAGTGTCCTGATGATAGTGGCCTTCCTTTTCTTGATACTGATTCACAATGAACTCATCCCTTCTGACTGTACTTTCTGAGAGGTTTAGTGACTCCTCCCAGAAACACCCTCCAACTTTACATTTTTTGGAGAGAATCGTTGTGTGTCAGTACCAAATATCTCCAAAAGAAATGCTTTAATGTTATTAGTAGTCCAGACCAGGGGTCAGAAAATTATAGCCCTTGTGCCAAATCCAGCTGATCACCTGTTTCTGTAAATAAATGTTTATCTGAGCACTGCTATTCCTGATAATGTTCATGGCTGCTTTCACACTACACTGGCAGACTTGAGCTTTATAGAAACCAGGAGGTCCATAAAGCCTAAAACGTTAACATTCTTCTTCAAGAGCTTTTAAAGAACTCTACTAAGCTAATTCCATGTGAAATTCCAAGAAGGAATAGTTATGTCCCAAACTTATTTACCCATGGAATCTCATTTCCTGAGTATTTTGTGAGACAATCATTTTATAGAAAACATTTTGGTGAAAACAGATCTAGACTAGCCTCTTAGATACCTCAACTTTCAACATTTCATTTATGTCACCTCTCTGGCTGCCAATTCTCGAAGGGTCTCTGATTCCAGGTGAGGTCTTCATGAATCACTCCATGGCCATGATCAGATTAGCCACCCACCCAAGCTCCCTTACTCCACCAAGATCAAATTAGCTGCCGTCCCTCTAGACACTGATGAGAAGGTCATAGACCTTTCATCAATGTCCTATTCATCTGTCAGCAAGCATGCCTTTGGCTATCCTTTTAGTTCTAGATAGCCTCAAAAGCTTTCTTTTCTTCTTTGTTCTAGCGCAAAGCACTGTAGTTAATAGGAAAGCCTCACTATCCAGTTTCAGAGGAAGTGGAAAGGCTAGTGGGGAAAGACTTCTAGGAGGAGGTAACAGGATGTGTTATGAGCCCCAGCCTGCTGTTGCCCTGGTCTCCTTGGCCAAACAGCTTTTTCGTTAACAATAATAATAAATGTTCTTTCCCTAATAAATAATCTAGCATCTATTTACTCATTGCTTACTTCATGTCAGACAACTATATTAGATGCTTTCCGAATAGTATTATAAGATGAATATTGTTCTTCCCATCTTGCTGATATAGAAATGGAGGCTTATTATTTGCTAACTTACCCAAGGGAACCCAGTAAGTAGCAACACTGGACTTGAACCTAGGTAGAGTGGCTCCAAAGTCCAAAAGTCCCCCAACTCTAATCGCCCTTCCACTGGGCTGAAGAGTCGCATAGAGATTTTGCTCCAAGGGGCCTGTTTGTGATCTGAGCTATATATTTTTTCTGAGCATACCATAAAGTGCTTTCTAACAGTAATAGGGGCATAATGAAAAGCTTTTAATAACTCCTTCCCAGTCTCTCCAGTGCCCATTTATTATCATTATTTTGCCCCAAATTGAGTAACCACATGATGCTTGTATTGGATTCCCCAAATCCTGCCAGAATGTTAAGCTGAATTACAGTGTGATTGTCATCCAGTGGTCCCAAACATATTCCTGTGCCAGTTCCTTCCCGTTACTTAGGGCCAACACCAGTGTTTTTCCTTTCCTGTGTGTCCTAAGGGATGTCTTTTATCTCATTCTAATACTGCAGTTCTTTATATTGTCCCACTAAAGTCTCCAGCTAGTCTGGATGGCTGGTTGAGTTCCATCTGTCTATCCTCATTTAAATGCATCCAACTCACCCATTTAGCAACTAAATGATGATCTGTGTTAGACACTGTGGTACATGCTTGCCATACAAAAATGCAAATGATGTTCCAGTCTTCAAGAAGTCTACAGTCTAATAGAAGATACAGGACTTTAAATAATTATAACAGAATAAATGGTAACAATCAAAAGTAATGGTATCATGGAAGCCTGGGGGGAGTTGGAGATTTCCCAGTGGAAATGTCACTTGAAAAGAGACATTTGGGATAGGTTGGAATTGGCCAAGAGTAGGACTCAGAATCTGCTAAGACAGAAGTGAGAAAGAACATGGGAGAGGTTAGACAGGGCAAATATGCAGAGCAGTCATTGACACTTAGAACACAATTGCTTCCAACTTTTAAAAGACATTACTTGACCTACGTAAACCTTAAACCGTAATTCTAGGAAATGGTTATATAAACTGTCATTTGGGGATTTGCTCCCAATGAAGAATGAGGATTTACTCCAAACTGATGTATAACAAATGAATTCCCTGGCATCGTCACATAATATCTGAGGAACAATATCTCCACCGTTCCTCAGTAAACTGCTCTGAATTGCCCACCAAACTTGGGCACCTGTGATAGGCAGACAGCACCTCACGTATGATTTATTCAGGTATCAAAGGATGTCTTGTGTCTGGGGCCAGTCGGCGGACTATAGTCAAGCTTCAGAGACTAGTGGACGCTTCCTTCTTACGTGAGGTCACGAGGGGGCAGTATCAGAGAAGCACGGCCATTATGAGGCAGAAGCCATTTTTCACAAAGTAGACATGTAATTAAAGACTTAGACAAACAGATTAATTACCTTATTGATTAAATGCACCCGAAACCTTCTTGAAGCAATATAATTCTGTTTGGTGGCAGCATAAAACTTGAGCTTATCAAGAAGAGAACTCATTTTGGGTCCCACGTGGAAAAGGTAATTATCCTTCATGTGTCATGACTGGGCGCATCTCAAATCCCAGGAGCAAGATTCTCCTGGAAACTTCAGCACTCTGTTTGTACAGATATCATCCCCAGTGAGCAGAGGAAGCTTTTGCTGAATGTCTAGTAGCAGCTTTGGGGTACAGAAGCCTCACCAGGGTTTTTCTTCTAAATGCCATCTCCAGAAAAGAATTGGTACCATCCCATAACTTCCCATGTTCACTCAGAGACAGAGAGGTGATCATGTAATGATTGTGAGCATTTACTAGTTGTAAAAGCAAATTGTAGGAACTTGTGTTACTCACTTTTACAGATACCTTTTATTCCTTTGGAACCATGGGCCTAAGCAGACAGCTAGCTTCAGTCCATATTTGGGGGCTACCAGGGAAGGACCCACAGATAATTGTTACCTGGAAATCCCCTAAGAGCTCATTGCCATTTCTTTGCTCCATGGAGGGAAAAGTACCCTTTTCTAAACAGTGGACACCATACACTGCAACTTAACAAAATGTCAAACCCGACACTGGTGTCACATTTCCTGATAGACTTTGAAAACTGAGGCAATATAGGTTTGTGTTTAACAGTTACTGGAATCCCAAAGCTGGGTGACTTTGGGTGAGTGAGGAACCTTGCTGGACCTCAGGTTTCCTTATTAGTGAAGCGAGAAAAACAATAGTATCTGACTCAAAGAGTTGATCTTTAACAGGTTTATTGAAGTGTAATCTGTATACCATAAAATTCACCCATTTTAAGAGTACAATTCAAATATTTTTGATAAATGTATTGTACAACCATCACCACATGCCATTGTTAGAACATCTCTGTCCCTCACCGAGACCCTTTGTGCCCATGTGAAGTCACTCCACCTTTCCACCACCAACCCCCCGGCAACCACCCTTCTCCTTTCTGTCCCTGTGCCCCCTCTAGATATTTCACACGAATGGCCTCAGACCATGTGGTCCTTTGTATCCGGCTCTTCCACTTAGCATGTTTTTGAGGTCCATACCTGTCGTAGCACGTGTCAGTACTGCATGTCTTTTACGATTAGGTAGTATTTCTTTATATAAATGCATATCACATTTTCTTCACGTACCCATCAGTTTACGGATGTTTCGTTTATTTCCACCTTTTGGCTATTAGAAATAATGCTGTTATAAACAGTGGTGTACAAGTCTTTGTATGAACATGACTTCGTTCTCTTAGGCAAATAGCTAGACTTAGAATATGGCCAATTTCAATCAAGGGGCAAATTTATGCCTCGGTTTTTAAGAAACTGCCAAACTGTTAACCGTTTTCCAAAGTGACATTCCTCCCAGTAATGTTCCAGCTTTCCCGCGTTCTGGCCATTTGTTATCGTCTGTCTTGTTTATTATAGCCATTCTGGTGGGCGTGAGGCGTCTTCCTGTGGTTTCGATTTGCATTTTCCTAATGACTGTTGCTGTTTGGGATCGTTTATGTGCCCCTGAACCGTTCATATATCTTCTCCAAGAGATATTTTGAGGATTAAATGATAACAAAGTTGTGAAGCACTTAGAAATGTAACTGCTTACTCAACAATAGATAATATGAGTGTCATCATCATCCATGGGCTTTGGAATTAAACTCCTGAGATACCATCCTTGCTTTGTTACTTGCATGCCTTATTATCCCGAGAAAGTGAGGCAATCTCTCCGAATCTGAGCGTTTTCAGAATAAAGTGGGAAAATCATTATAATTTCTCAATGCTGAGAAACAGCATTTATTGAATAATAATGTTTTAGAAAACTAAGCTCTACTTTTTAATATATTAACCAATTGTAAAGTCTCTCAATTTCAGAAAATATAAAAAAAGGGGCATCTTAGAAGTTAAGAAATATAGAAATTATTGCAAGAACAGTAGGAACACAATGCATAAAGCACTAACATAAATGTTTAATGAAAGGTAACTATCACTGCCATTATGACGTACATTAATTAAACTCCTTTGAGATTTATTAAACACACATGTTTACAAACTGATAAAGCAGGAGGCTGTAGGTTTTTTGGTTTTGTGTTTACATTTATGCCAATGTCAAAATATGAACAAATCCGTTGTAAAGTCCCTGAAAACACCATCAGAGCTATTAGACTATCTTGGAAGGCAGGATCGAGCATAAGCCTTTGTGTGTTTACAGATACGCATTTGATAGATCTAATTTTTAAAATGAAAGATGCAACTTCTAAAGTCTTATTATTTGCCACATCTACATGATACTTAGCATAGGGCCAGTTTTGTTTTGTTTTGTTTCTGTGGCAGAGTCTCACTGTGTCACCCTTGGTAGAGTGTCATGGCATCACAGCTCACAGCAACCTCAAATGCTTGCTTAGGCAATTCTCTTGCCTCAGCCTTCCAAGTAGCTGGGACTACAGGTGCCCGCCACAATGCCCAGCTATTTTTGTTGTTGTTGTTGCAGTTGTCATTGTTGTTCAGCTGGCCTGGGCTGGGTTCAACCTGCCAGCCTCTGTATATGTGGTTGGCACCATAACCACTGTGCTATGGGCGCCAGGCCCATAGGGCCAGTTTTCAATTGATGACAAAAAGTCCTAGCAGGTCGCTTCACTCTGAACAGACACTGTCATTTCACTTGAGAAATCACTCCCAGGTTTGGATGGGGTCATCCTTGGACTCACTCACCACTACCAAGATAGAGCTCATGCTGTCAACCTATTGTAGCATTTTCCAGACCCATTCAACCTGCAACATCCTTGCTCTGCTCTGACTCCATTTTATTCACCAGGGGGCTATGATGGCCACGACGTGGAGTACACCTGGCTGAGAGGGAATGACTCTGTGCGTGGGCTGGAAAACCTGCGGCTTGCTCAGTATACCATACAACGGTATTTCACCTTAGTCACCAGATCGCAGCAGGAAACAGGTAAACTTGTGTGACAAATTATATAAAATAAAAATAAGCAGTCTGAGATAGAGGACTGTTCAATGAGTCAGAAATATCATCTCTTCTCCACTTTACCTCTTTGGGGACCAGGGCGGTTGAGTTTGGGTTCAGCTCTTCTGCCACCAGCTCCACTCTGAGTATTGAGTGATCCACTGGGGAGCAGGCCTGGACCAGCTCTGAGGCCTAGCACTATTGGTCACCACGTGATATCTTCCACTGATTGCTCAAATTCTGTGCCTTCCTCATGCATAAAATTTACTCGTGTTTCTAACTGGAGCACTGATTCTCTGCCACGAAGAGTAAAAATAAGGACACAGCTCACAGATGAAGACGACAGCAGTCGTCAGCCAACAAGAGCCTGAACGCCCTAATTATTGTAAGCTTGTCAGGGAGAATTACTTGTTCACTTCATTTACCAGCATCGCATCTCTTAGTCTTTGGCATTAGAGAGAGATGCTTCTAAAAGATGTCATTCTCGATAAGCAGTTGGTATTTTCTTCTTCCTTTCTCATGGCGACATTAGGAATGATTATTGTCATCTACACAGGCACCCTGAGAAAAAGTGCTATGTATTTCAGTTGAGCCCGGATGGCATTAAGAATCATACATACACCAAGATCATTAGAAATTGTAAGCCATTAGCAGGTATTACTTCCATAAAGAACAAATAAATAACACTTTACTTACTTGTTAGAAATGTGTTTGTAAATTGTTATGCTGTCAGTTTGCCCAACCTAGATGCCCAGTCTGGATTCATGCAAAAAAAGTGACTTCAGCTTTCAGAATTGTTTAACTCCAGGTAGCACATACCTAATTTTAAATACAAAAGAAGGTGATGATTTAGTCAAATAGTGATTTTAAGTGTTTTTTCCCCCAAACATTGACTTCGAAAATCAAAGGAATGAAGCAAGCAGTGTAGACTAACAGAACATCCCTGGACCAAAGGGCAAAAGTCCTGGTTTTTATAATTACTGGTCCTTAACTCAGGTCACTAAAATTCCCTGTGTCTCAATTTCTCCACTAAATAAAGTGGAGAGAGTGATCTCTAGGTTCCCACCAGGCTCTAAAATTACATATTTTTATAATATACTATATTTCTTCAGTAATATTTCTGTTGTTTGGCTATTTAATGGTATAATTTTAAATTCCAGGCTTTCATTTGGGGGTGGCATGGGGTTAGGGGAACTGACATCCGCTGTCCTACTCCACTCTGAGCCAGACCTCTCCTCTTCCCAGAGGAAACCTCTTTATCCTTCCAGCAAGCTAATTCCGTCTGCTACTGCTCCGTCTGCCCTTGCTCACCTCCCTTAACAGAAGGACTGCAGGAGCATAACTTGGTACCCTAACCCAGGGCACATGTTTTACGCTATAGTAGTTTATTTGCCACACATAGAATTCTGTTACGATAACTGTCTACTCTGTACATTTGCCACATCTAAACTACACTGATAGCTTCCTAAGGAGAGCCCTGAAGTATCATAAAATTGGGGGTACCTCTAAAATCCTCAAAAAATGTAATATTTAATACGTCTATTGGATCTATTTCATAGTATTCTTGAAAAATGGGTGGCTTAATAAAAAAAGAAAAAAAGAAAATTGGGTGGCTTTTCAGGTCATCTTCATTAAAAGGGTATTCATCAAACCACTTCTTTGTGAGTGTAGAACTAATAGACTCAGGGTTTTCCACGAAGGGACTCACTGTCTAGTGAGGTAGATATCAAGATGCTGTATGAATACAGCTGTAGAGACAAGGATGAAAGTGTTCCCGGAGCCCTCTGATCAGAGACGCAGGGAAAAGGAACTGCAGATGGGATGATCTCTTCACAAGGACAACAAAAGGGATGTGAATGGGGGAACAGCACCCTTCTAAATCTCATTCAATGCAATAGCAGTGTCTCTGGTGAAAACCATAATGATGGTTCACAATGAGATTTTGGAGAATGACAGAGGGCTTAATGTGGATACAGCTAAGTTAAACATCCCATAGGGAAACCACCCTGCTATGTGAACGACATGATTTCGTACCTCTTGTTTATCTTATCAGGAAATTACACACGATTGGTTTTGCAATTTGAGCTTCGGAGGAATGTCCTGTATTTTATTTTGGAAACCTACGTTCCTTCCACTTTCCTGGTGGTGTTATCCTGGGTTTCATTTTGGATCTCCCTTGATTCAGTTCCTGCAAGAACCTGCATTGGTAAGCAGCTCCAACAGATTTCTAAGGACGGGCTTATTGGGAACTGATTTTTCCCCCCTTCTATCCTTGTTTTCGTTGATATTTGCAGGGTTAAGTTCTAAGAGTTGGTTTCTTGAGAGATTCTTTTACAGAAAGAGAAAGAGGGAGAGAGAGAGAGGCAGAGAGACAGTACTTGAGGAATGGTGCATTTTTAAACTTATGTCTTGCAGTAACAGATGAGGAATAATTGTAATTAGATGGCCCATTGTTAGTTATTCTGTGTACTGACCACTCTGTCCAAGGAGAAGACAGAAGGTAAAACATTTAGAAACTACATCACTCGTAATCTGTATAAAATGGACAAATCGACCCTATTCCAGAAGGTTGGAGATTTTGCATAAAATCAGATATGTTGCATTTCTGCACCCTGCCCTCCTGCTGTCAGTCCCTATGTGGAGATACTCTGCTAGGAAACGGTGTCCACTGACCTGACGTAGAAACATGTGCTGCCCGTTTTCCCAGGAGTGACCACCGTGTTATCAATGACCACATTGATGATTGGGTCCCGCACTTCTCTTCCCAACACCAACTGCTTCATAAAGGCCATCGATGTGTACCTGGGGATCTGCTTTAGCTTTGTGTTTGGGGCCTTACTGGAATATGCAGTTGCTCACTACAGCTCCCTACAGCAGATGGCAGCCAAAGATAGGGTAAGAATTTTGAAGGCCCTCCATATGATCCATCACTTGTGCCATGGAATGAAGGGTCTGCAGAGGTGGGCTGGACCTGGTTCTTCCTTCCCAGTGGGGTTCATTTTGCTCCAGTGAGTCTCCTCCTTGTTCATGTGGGTACGTCTGAAATCATGGTGCTCCTTGAGAAAGACCATTCTTTTTACCAGATACAATGAGCTATTAATAGATTTAATTTTCCAGCAGGAAATAACTATGTTATCCGTATGCAGCATAAAATCACAACCATGAAAACAAGCATCCATGAAAAGTCCAATATCAAAGCAAAGATGATCAGCTGCTTTTAATTTCAGATTAATATGTATTTGTTCTTTAATTCTTCTTTTGCATTCTTGTGTTCTTAAATTATGTCAGTAATTGTTTACTAAAACGTGTGGAAAAATTAGATTGTGACAAATTTCTTGGTTAGTATATTTTTCTGCTGGGAAAGATTGTCATTATTTGATTTAGCAGTGGAATGCTGTGGTCCAGCTATCTGAGTAATAATAATGGTTATTATTTATCAAGCATTTGCATGTGCCAGACACAGTAAAAAGCCTTTTGCAAATATTATATCATTTAAAATGCTCATAACGATCCATTGAGGTTGTTATCGCTGGATTTTTATAGTTGTGGAGTATAAGGAACAAGAAAGGTAAGTGGCTTATCCTAGGGGATATAGATACTAAGAGGTAGAACTGGGATCCCAACCTAAATCTGTTTCCAAAAGCCTGAAATTTACTTGTTATTCCGACTTGCAGTGGACACTGGGCCATGCTCTTAACTATCACTCTTTACATGGAACCCTAGTAGCCAAATTTGACAGCTATTGTCACACTAAAGCTCATGCTAACAAGCAAGAAAATAACAGAAATCCAATTCAGAAGAGATGCCCACCTTTAGCAAAGTGCTAGGACCACACAGGTCTAATAGTAAGAAACAAGGAATGAGAATAGCCCAAAGACTCAGTTGCTTTTTCCCTTGTGTTTGGCTATTATGAGGCAAAGTTATATACACGGTCATATTATTCAAGCATGAAAGACAAATAATCACGAGTGCCAGCTACAGAAAAATGTGAATTTAATTTTTTGTTTGCTCCCTCTAGCCTTCCTTAAGGGGAAGGAAGGAAGTTGAATTGCCCCTAAAAATCTAGATTGGCTAGATTGGCTAAAAGGAGGTTAGAGAATTTAGAGGAGGCTCCACTGAAGACACTAGAAAGCCCTTATTTTGCCCTGTGTATGATAATAGCTGCTCTAGAGAGTATTTGCTGTTTCCTAAACACCTACTAACATCTTTGTCCACCACACAACCCAGTGCAATGGGTACCATTATTATTACGATGTTACTGTGTGGAACCTGCTTCTTAGAGATGACCCACACCTTGCAAGTGGCCTGGCCAAGGATCTAAATCACACTCTTTCTCGCTTTACTACACTCGCACATTCTGTGTCACCCCAGCCATGTTGGAGAATGGCAGCTCCTTGGAACTGCAAATAGCAACATTCTTTCTGTTTGCATGGCAAAGACCTAAAAACATAGCTAATTTTTATCATCTTTCATAATCAGTCACTCCCTTCTCCTTGGAACAGAATAAAATTCATCAAACACCTACTAGATGCTTCACATAATATAGACCATTTCATCTTCCCATCAGTCTCAGGGAGTAGGTATTAATATCATCACCCTTTGACAGGCAAGGAAATTGAGTCTTTTTTTTTTTTTTTGAGACAGAGTCTCACTTTGCCACTCTTTGTAGAGTGCCATGGCATCAGAGCTCACAGCAACCTCAAACTCTTGGGCTCAAGCAATTCTCTTTCCTCACCTCCCAAGTAGCTGGGACTATAAGCGCCCACCACAATGCCTGGCTATTTTTAGAGACAAGGTCTTGCTCTTGCTCAAACTGGTCTCGAATTCCTGAGCTCAGGCAATCCACCCATCTCGGCCTACCAGGATTAGGATTAAAGTGACTAAAGTTTCACCATAGTGAGAAACAGAAAGGGATTTGAACCCAGGTCTTTTAGCTTCACAGCCCATGCATTGGGCATCTAGTGCACCGCTCTGCACAGGGAGAGCGAGCCCTGGTTACACGTTGTTACACATGCTGGTGACCTCTACCAACAGGATAACAGGACTCCAAGTCTGGCTTACCAGCCAATTTCTGAGGCACTCAATGCCACTCTCTATTAAACTTAATTATTCAATACTGAGGCTTCTAAACTTTTTATTTGCTCATTATCTACTTATTTATCTTGCTGAGTCAAGTCTTTTAAGCTAACTGCATTGTCTATGAACTAGGCGACAGCGAAGGAAGTGGAAGAAGTCAATATTACTAACATCATCAACAGCTCCATCTCCAGCTTCAAACGGAAGATCAGCTTTGCGAGCATTGAAATTTCTGGCAATAACGTGGACTATAGTGACTTGACAATGAAAACCAGTGACAAGTTCAAGTTTGTCTTCCGAGAAAAGATAGGCAGGATTGTTGATTATTTCACAATTCAAAACCCCAGTAATGTGGACCGATATTCCAAACTACTCTTTCCTTTGATTTTTATGCTGGCCAATGTATTTTACTGGGCATACTACATGTATTTTTGAGACAACATGGAATTTTTGGCATGCCATAGGTCTTTAGCAGAACAAGATAATGTTGTTAGTGGTATTGTAGGCCAAGTGTGCATATTGACCCAATGTCAGGTGACCAAAATAACATCTGAACAAATTTCTCCTAATACCATGGACCCCTGACCATTATTCTAAGCTGTGTAGAAGTCCCAGCATTATGAGGTCTTATGATAGAAACATCAGTCCTTTCTTCTTCCATCTTTACCAAGGACATCCCTATGGAGTCCAAGATTACAAACATACTCAGGAATGGCTATTTGCTCAGTGTCTCCCTGGTCTGCATTTGCCTCATATTAAAAAAAAGTAGGAAGGAGATCATTATGAGTATTGGGTAACCTTCAAGTGTCAGGTGTTGTTTCTAAATTAATTATACACATTATTTACTAAATCTCTGAAATGTTTATAAAATATATTGTTATCTGTTTGGAAAGTAACATTTTCTAGTTTTGTGTTTTTTATTAAAATGAAATGTGGGCTTATCACTGGAAGTCACTACACGAACTCAATGCTGAATTGCATTTTTAATAGGGAGCATTATTTAATACCACAGCAGAATTGTCCCCAAATTCCAGGAAGCCCTATCATTGAAACTTAAATGTAAGTAAAGAAAAAGTTAGAGAATCAATAATCTCAAACATAGATTTCTTATTTCTAAAATAAAATGGATTCCCCAGACTGGAAGGACTCTGAGGCTTTCTTCCTCCATTACACATGTCTTATGATTTTACTATTGTATGCACATCAGTCCTTTAGCACAATGCTAAAGCCTTTTTATCACATCACAAATAGAAAGGGAAGAATTTTTTTAAGACTCATTCTAGGAGTCTTAATATGGACTGCTGCCATGAAGACTTGCTCAGAATCAAGTTCACTTTCTAGTTGCCTTTACTCAGATACTGGTGAAGCACTAAAAGTGCCTGGTTGACATTGTCAGATAGTCCCTGCCATTCTGTCCTTTCTGCTGCTCTAGCACTGAGCAGCATGGCCCCAGAAGCAGATTCTCTGCATCTTTCCAAGAGGAGCTTGCATCCCTGTACCCTAATGACCACGAATGATGCTGTTTCTGCATTCTGCAGAAACAAGTGGCTTAGCTCAAGTAAACTTGGCCTTGCTCAGCTCTCTACTCCTTCTGGCTTGACTAGTTTGAGTGGCATGTCCTATGTGAGCAGGAGAATGCTGTACCTGAGTCCTGAACTTTTGAGTAACCAAGGGACATGTTACGGAACCTATTTCACATTACAGGTGAGCTGTCTTCTCCAAGGCCAGCCAGCCTCACCCTAACATAAGAATTAGCACAAGTGTGCATCACTCCTGCTCCTTAGCCAAGCTCAGCCAACAACACCAAAGGATGGTGATTTGTGAGTGTACCAGGGTAAAGTCTTCCAGCTCAGCTGCAGTTATTTTAAAGAATCTCACCATCTTCAATTTCTTAGCTTCTTTTTCTAATAAATGCATGGTTTTACCCTTCCTTTCAGAAATAAGCCACGACTTTAGAAGAGGGTTTCTCTTTTTAACTCCCATATCTATAGGCACTCATTCTGTTTCCCATTATGATACTGATCATAATTCCGTTTCTGTAGGTTGATCACCTGATCTTTTAACAAGACATATCTAATAGGAACGAGAGGATCAAAAGAGGTGAAATGTGATTGTATGAGTCAATCATATTTGTGATTTTTTTTTGAGAAAAAGTTTTAAAAGGAAATATCTGCTCTGAAACCCCCTGTAAGCATAAAGACAATTGTAAAGGTGCAGAACTGTGAAATAAATACACAATATTATCTACTCACCAAATCAAGTGGTCATCTATAGAATGAATCCTGTAAGATCCCATTTCGTAAAGGGATATATGATAGTGTGAATGCTGTGGGCTCACACTATTGCACCCTCATGTTCTCCCACCTCAGATATTCTCTTTCTCCATGTTTCATTCCCTCCCCCACCCCCATACACCCACCCTACAATTTTCTACCAAGTAAATAGTAAACATTGGTGACATAGTTAATGTTTTTCTTTGACATCACTGTACCACATTTGCCTGTGGTTAAACAATTGGGCCTGACGGTATTGAAACAGCCAGTTCTCAAAAACTGTCCCAGATTCTCATGTAAGCCTTCTTTATGTTTTGAAATTCTCTTTTATTTTTATTGTGGTGTTATCTTTATAGTTTGAGAACATGCTTTGAGGGGAAAACCAACTCTTGGATTTCATATCCCTCCGCGCTTTCTGTAGGCTAGCGCACCACAGTTCTCATTAAAAGATCTTACTATTCTAAATCTACCCCACACATCCTACCTACCCAGAGCAGTCCTAGAACTTACTTTATCGAAAATATTTATTTCTTGGGTGAAAATGTCACGTCTCACTTCATCAAATTTCCAAAGGACATGAAAATATGTGGGGTTGGAAATATTCTAAGTCATGGTAGTTTTTAATTACTTTGATATTGAGAAGAGCAATAGTTTCAGTACAGGAAGTCATATAGATGTAGGAGGACATTGAATAACAAGTAACAGATGGTTCATTTCAAGGAAAGAGAAGGAGCAATGAGCATAGCAGAAAAGGGCTTGAGATTACAGTAGCTCTCAAACTGAAAATGAGTCAGCAGCACAGGGGAATACCGCTGGAAGGGAAATCCCATATGGACTTTCAGTATCAGGCGAGTATAGTGACAAGTATAGAGATCTTTGGTTAGGGGGTGTTTGACACCAAGACCTTGTCTTTCTTCCCTCCTGTATGTTACCCTCACACAATTCTTCTTAGCTTGTGGTCTATTTGTTGCTAAAGATCCTTGCTTCTTGAAACATATACACTTTTAAAATTGATTCTTAACACACAGGGAATTACACCACAATATGTGATCAGTATGGTTTATGTGTTGCTCCAAAGACTTAAAAAGAAAGAAAACATTGAATGTGTGTTAAAAGAGATGTAGTACATAATTTCCAACAGTTCTTGTAAAGAATTTAGAGACACATCAGACTGCAGTATATCTGGTTTAAACAACAGTGAGTCCAATTCTGTCCCATTCTTGTAAGAAGAATGTGCAAAAATAGGGAAAGAGAGAAAAATGAAAGGTGACTAAAATAATGGAAAACAAGCCCAATGAGAAGGAGCTTTGGCAGCTTGAAAAGCAAGGCTGAGTAATAATGACTTTCATTATTAGGTTCAAGAAAAACTTTTGTACAAGAGACATGCTATTCCACTATTCACCTGGATAAGTGAACTGAATAAAAATAAATAGGCACGGACAAACGTAAGAGAAAGCCCAATTGTTCAGAAAGAAGAAAATGTGCACGTTGAATGATGAAATGCTCAGATTCTCTATCTGGAAATTTTCCATGGGAATAAACAATCATCTCTCCCCTTTGATTCTGTTATCTGCTTGCCTGAAAGAAGACAGCTCTACATATCCTACTAGATAATCTTGGGAGGTTATACATGCAGGGAGATGCCTCTTGGTGCAGAAAACTAAAGCGTCAGACAACGTCTTGCTAAAAAGAACCAATGTCTAAGAATATTCCTGGTGACCCATGCAACTGAGCTTCAAAATCCTGATTTCTCTGGGGGGACTTGAAGTGGAGTCATGTGATTCACAGGTTTCAATGACTTGGTTATAATACCAGCTTTAATTATCCAATCTCATTACTTATAATCGTGCCTTTCTAGAAATTAGAGAAAATACAGTCTGATTTGGAAAACTGGGAAAGGGAATAGAACATAAGAAGTAAGTGTATAGATGTATGTTGGTCCAAGGTTCCTGTGACCTTTGAGAACACCTATATTTGTAAGCCAGCTACCTATTTTTCTCTAAGCAAAGGCTAGAACCAAGGCTTAAAAGATCTTGAAGAGCTGGGTGATCTGGACTCTGTATTTATGGCCTGATTTTACTCAAGTTAGGACAGGCGAATTTATTGTTAAGGTTTTCAAGAAATAGTATTTTATTTCTTATCATCTGAATCTCCAGTTTCATCCAGAAATTTCTCCTCCTACTCCAGACAGAAACTTAGTTAACCAAGTTACCTTTTACCTTTTCATACACATGACTATATAGAAAAAAAGAAAACAGGTCTGAGACTGCTGTCTTTAGAGAGGTCTGTTTGTAAGGTTGTCTGTGAATGTTATCTGAGAATTTGGATTCTGGGACAGTTCCCATCATTAAGCTTAATGTGCCTACACTGTTTGTACAAAGAAAGTGATTTATGCTGAACACTTTATTTCCTTCTGTGAGTCTGGCATTTTGGTATATGCCATGGAAAGGGTACCTATGTGAACAGCCACCAGTGAAAATCTTGGACATGGAGTCTCTAATGAGTTTCTTGACAGGCATCATTCCACATATGTTCTTACAGTTCAATGCCAGAGGAAACAAATATATCCTGGGTGACTAAATGGGAAAAAACTCTTGAAAGCTTACGCCTGGTTTCTTCTAGACTTCACCCCACATGCCTTCTTCCTTTGCTTATTTTGGCACATGTCTTTTTGTTATAATATATTATAGCCATGAGTGCAATTCCATGCTGGGTCCTCCGTGTCATTCTGGTGAATCATCAAAGCTGGGGATGGACTTGGGGACTCTGGACACACATGCCTTGGGGCAGTGGTTCCCAACCCTGGCTCATCATAAGACTCACTGGTGGAGCTTTATAGAAAATACATCCAGAGTCTCACCCCAGGCCTATGAACTCAAGACCTATACATTTTTTCAAAGTTCTCCAGATGATTTTGATGTGAAGCCAGGTGGGAAAATAGATGCCAAATGCACTGGTGAAAAGACACCAGAGCTGCATTCAAAGTTCATTTTCAAGGGGAAAAGATAACACAGTACATCCGCCACATGGAAGGAAAGATTTTGACTGAATATTGTTATTGAATATTAGCAGTGTACAGAACAGAGAGGAAGTGAACTTTTTTTTTAACTATATCTTCTTTTCTTAAAATGTCTGATTGATATAAAGGTACAAACAGTTAGGTTATATTGTTTGCATTTGTTAGGTAAAGTCTAAGTTGTAGTTGAGTCCTTTACCCAAGAGGTGTTCCATGTAGCCCCATATTGGGCCTGTTGGGTGATAGCTTACCAACCCCCCCTGCCCCCTCTTTTCCCTCCTCTCCTCCTACTTAACTGTGGTTGTGTTTTTCCCTGGTCTGACCATGTGGTTGTTCATCTGGCTTTATGTCAGTATTGAGTACATTGGATATTTGGAAAGTGAACTTTTCCTTTCGTCTCCTTGAGTCATCTATGTTAGCACCAAGAAGGAAAATGGCAATGCTTATGTTTAATGCAGCTCAAACCTGACACACAAATAATATAATGATAAGTGTATGGCTAAAAAGTGATACAGACGTATGGGGATGTGGGGATGCGGCAATTCTTTATGGCAACTCCCAGTTTTGGAGACATAAACTTTAATTCTTGCTAAAGTTAACTTGAGTTCATGCAAGTGAACTAAAAACCTTCACAGGAAGACAA